CATTCAATGACTCTCGCCCGTAGAAATTTTGCTCAAGAAGAAACCTCTGCAGAGTATCGCGGGGCAATGTGCTGTCAAAAATATCAAAATATGCAGAGTAGTGGAAGAGGGCCTCACGGAACCGAGTCACAAAGAATGGAGAATTGAAAGATCCATTCTCAATGGCGTGCACGAAAATACTCGGTTTCAGTTTGAGGATTAGGCGTAGGCCTGCATCACGAGGACTGTCCACCCTCACTGATTCATCAGCTAGGGCTTTTAGCCAAAACATGCAGTTCACTGCAACCGTCTCGTCGCTATTTTCACTAAGCTTGAAATCTTCGATTTTAATTGCCTCCCAATTTCGAGCCGCTATGGCATTGTACTCAAATGGCACGCCAAAACGCTCGCAATACTTTGCCAGGCGCCGTCCGGTCTCTTCTATGAATTCTCCTGGCTGAAAGCGCGGTTGGGGAAGACCTATTCCTGTAATGCGAAGTTTAGGAGGTCCACCCGGCCTGGTAGACAGTAGCTGGATTAGGGCAGGCCATTGGAAACCATACAAAATGCCAAAATCTATAAGATGTAGCACTTTAGCTTCCAGCGAAACCATGTAAATCATTTCATTTGCATATGCTATTGTTATCGTCTTAAACGGGCATGCTGACATGTAAGCCCGGTAAGCTTTCAACGTCTCCAAAGCTGTGTACGTTTTAGAGGCTAGAGATCTATGGATCTGAGACCCCGTGCCAGCCAAGCGTGCCTCGAGACAATTAGCAAATACATATGCCAGCCTTTGATTTGCATCACCAGTAGGGGAACAATGCTCCCGGAGCTCTTTTAAATATTTTTTTGCAGTCGCGCAATCACTATCACCAACTGATTGTGCGCAGCTGATTAAAAGGGTCCTTACGTCTACACCTTCACTTGTTTCATCACCCTGCAGCCTCTTCCCACGGCGTTTGCGTCCATTGTGTGGCTTGCTCTTTCCAGCTTCAGACGAGAGTTGAATATCCCCACCATTGGGAACATTGTGTAACCGGCCATTGCCAACTTCAGATAAAACATTCATGGGACACTCAACAGGATCGCACAGCAAAACTTTATCAAACATCTCTGATAACTCCTCTTCCCCATAAACTGCAGATTGCTTGCTGCTCCTCTCTCCCTCAAACTTCTTGTCGTCCTGATGGTGATGCTTCTTTCTGCTTGTAGAAGTTCTAAGTGAACTCTCCATATCATTATTCTCTAGCTCGGTGATTGTATCATTAGGCATCTCATCCATCTTTGGAGGCAATGAGTCTTTATCCAAATCAAAAGCCAATTGATTACTAGTGGGGATGAATTTATTAGCTTCCTCCGTTCCTCTCTTGAACTGCATGGTGCAAAGAGAGTCCACTTGGAAATTCATACTACTCCCATGACCATTTAAAGAACCATTTGAACTCCCAGAAGTGGGTAGCAAAGAATGGAAATATGGCTCAGGAGGATAGCCCACTAAAGGTGACATAGATTGGCCATGATCGACAATCCACTGAGGCGGGTCACTGTGATTGCTACTGGTGGAACCATTGCTCGAATAGAGTTCACTAGAATTCACATATATTCTATTCGAGCTTTCTTGTTTATGGCTAGCCAGAGATTGAAGAGGTGAAGGATGGTTCTTCTCATCAAGGGCTTCATAGAAGTATTTCTCCGCAGCTTCAAGAGCAGTTGGATCATAGGACATAGGGGGCTTCTCATCGATGTCGTCCTCCAATAGTATCTGGTTGAGGTACTTGAAAACAGGGTCTGCCTCGTGGTTGGAAACAGGCGCAGCCAAAGGGTCACCCATGGAATCCAGAGCTAAAGAGCCATCCAAGTTATTGTAATAAGCAGCATCTTCAGATCGTTGAAAGCTAGAACAAAGGAACTCATCTTGCTGCTTGAATGTGCTCACGGAGCCAGGCAGCCCAGTGAATCGAAGATCCATAAGCCTATGTGTGAAAAGAACCTGCAGCATCCATAGTTGGAATACGGAGTATGAGTAAACAATGTATTCAAAGACAATGACTTTGTGAATGACTTTAATAACAAAGACGATCCTGCCGGGATGAATACCATTAACAGATGCCAATTGGAATCGCAGACGCTTTTACAGATTTACCACCAGAGAGATATAAATTCAGAAAATGCCCACACATTTAGCAGTAATTCATAGAGAAAAAGTGTTACAACCATAAATTGCAGAAAGAGGCATCTCTTAAAAAAACATCATTGCTCCACAAATCTTCAGAACTGAATTCCTAGGCTAACAAGCAAGCAAACAAACAAACAAATAGCACCCAACACTTCAAAAGTTGAACCCTTAAAGATTGCTCTTTTCACATGAAATCACAAAAACAACAACAGGGCAAGCAAATATGCAGAAACAATTACAACACGTAAAATTCATGGGATTCAGTAGAGTAGAGATCAAAATTTATGAAAACTGAGAATTTGTATAGCTTAAACCCTAGTGTTTAAAGGAAATGAATGGTCATAGTCACAGAAAAGCTGAGAATTACTAGATAATTCAGTAGAGTAAAGATCAAAGGAATCGCTCAGAAACCATTCAATGCGTAATTCAGATTGCGTACCTTAGAGAGCCCTAAGAATTGGAGAAGAGGAAGACAGACGTTAGAGCATTTAGCGCCAAAAGTCACTCTCCAATCATGAAGAGAGGAAGAATGTGTTCTAATTGAGTCAAAGTTTTTTTAAAAAAAGAATTAGTGAATTACGGAGTACTCCGTAAATCCCGTAATTAAAGTTTGGACTTTGGACACTTCATCTTCAAGTTTTTTCATCTTCAAAGTTGATTAGAATAAATGTCAGTTTGCATTCAAAAAAAGAGAATAAATATCACTTTTGAATATTACTCCCTCCATTCTTTTTAATTGTCTGTTTTGTTTTGCGTGTCAAATATTTCATTAATTATATATAAAAATATGTAACAAATTAAAATATTAAAGTTATACCAAATTATTATTGGTATGCCAACATACTTTTTAATACGAGTATATTATTTTTAATAACTTTTTGCTAATATATTCTGACAGATACTTTTAGTTAAACAATCGACTCAAAAAACAAACTAAATAGTTTAAAAAATAGAGAGTGTACATTTTTTTCAAAATAATCGTCTAGTTTGATTTTTCTAGTTAAACTCACATAGTTGATAGACGTAAGATGTAGAAGCAAGCTAGAGCTGAAGGTTGTAGTAAGGTCATCACAAACATGTTTAATTTGTGAACAAATAGATTGATAATAACAAGAAGATATGCATGTCTAGATCTAGATGTCAGTCATAGACGATTGAACATATGTAGGGTTAGGAGATGCATCTCCTCTCGTGATCATTTGTGGTAGTGCTTCTACCGATCGACACATCCAAGGAAGAGGTTAGATTCAAGCGTGATATGAATATTCAAAGACCATGTAGGATTATTTATATTTGTGAGTTTGTCATAAACATGATTACGTAGATTATATTGTTGAACAAAAATTGATGTCGAGTTGGAGAGAGGTTAGGGGTCAGAGGTGGGCTGGTGGCCATAGCCCATAGCGTGAGTCGACCAGCAGCGGTGGTGATGTATAGTTGTCAGTGCCGGTCAAGAAGAGGATGAATAATCGTGGCAGCGACGGTTAGAGACAAAGGTTAAGATTTCGGGAAAAAAAAGCATCGCTTTGATACCATGATACAATTTGATAATAATTGTTTCTATTGAATAATGAGATGTCCACCAATATATATATATATATATATACATACATACATACATACATACACACACACGCACGCACACGCAGACACACAAGATTTTCTAACTAAATAAGAAACAGGATAATAAATACGCGTATGACATAAAAGTTTACTAGCTCCATCCCATAAAACTCTTCTTGTTTGAAAAAAGACGCGCCTTCAAAATGAGTAATAATGACGTTCTTTTCTAATTATGATTCATCTATCATATACAACTCATCCTACTCTTTAATAAAGTAAGGACAAAATTAGAAAATGACACTAAAATTACTCATTTCAAAGGTGCGCTTTTTTCAAACAGAAATAATTAATGGGATGGAGGCAGTATAATATTTATCCTATTAAGTTAACTGATAATATATCTCCTATAATATGAAAACTTATAATACAAAAACGAGTTTATTAACATTTATCATGTAAAAAACTTTCATAAATTAAATTTATTACATTTATATGTAATATAGGTTTATTTCATTAAAGATCAAATCAAAGTTTGTACATCTTGACTTAAAACAATAATAATTAAATTAGTCAAAACTCTCAGATGATGTAAGTGAATGACATACTCTCATAGTACAATTTTCATTTTTCGTAGTTTATATTTTTGTATTATTTTTAACATATCAAATTTTAAAGTTAATAATATTTATTTGAATTTATTTATACTGTGAATTTGGGTTATATTTTTTTATGTGAATTTAGGGTAATTTTATTCGACAATAATGCTACAAACAAAGTACTCGTATTACCTATATACTCCAATTTTATTTACATTTTTGATATTGTCAGTTAAAATGTATGAATGTGTAGCACTAAAGTCAATATATAAATTAATTTATATTCGCATAAGTATTTTATTAAGAGCATTCCGTTTTAAAAGGTTTTTTTTAAAAATTATTATTAGATCTGAGAAAAAAAAATAAAAGACCGTGAACTAAAGTCAAAAGGTGATGATGTCCCACAAAAAGCCTAAAAGGTGAACCGAAGAAATTTTAAAAGAATATAAACCAAAGCTGAAGTAGGATCTGATCTTGAACACAAATCGCGACATGTTTTTTGATATTTGATTTTTCTTATTTACGTTAAAGGTTTCTTATTTGATCTTATTTAATGCCAGTAAAGATTAAAATTATTTTTAATCTAATTTGAATATATCTGATTTGATTTGATTTTTTTTATTTTACTTTAATCTAATTATAATAAGCAATAACTATAAATTGAAGAGAACTAAGTCTAAAGAAAATTTAAATCCTCTTTATTATTTTATCATGTTTTTAAAATAATTAGGCTTGAAAAATTAAATGCCTTACTTTTTGCATTTTCAAACTTAACCATACAAAGAAACTTATGATCAAAGATCATTGTCTATCAACTTTTGCTATTACAATTGAAAGCATTTGCCAGTTGGTGATTTTACTATTATCAAGGTATTTTATGTAATTGGATTTCCTTAGCATACGAGAAGTTTAATACACCTTTGTCAACGAGTTGAGTGATGCACAATATACGCTCGTAGTTGGGACCACCATTTCATATTTTCATACACCGGTGTCATATGAAGCATGCCGCTTTTCTTTCATTCTACACAGGCACCCAACAGGAGCTAGCGGTGAGAACCCTCCCCTTCCATCCCTGCACCATCCAACCGCCGTCTTCATCAAACACAAACTCTTTGTGGTACCCTGTCTTCACCTTTTTCCTCAGCCTGGCCATCAGTTCTGGGTTCAATGGAAGAAGTTTGAACCCAGCTCTGGCATTCCTTATCTGCCACTGCTTGTATGTCTCAGGCCTCACAACCCTTGCCGTGCCCTCACATGCAACCACATTCAACGCCTCCCGCCCAAAGATATCATGCTCAAGTTGGAGCCTCTGCGGATCGTTACGGGGAAATAAAGTTTCGAAAATATCAAAGAAGGAATAGTAGTGGTAGAGAGCATCACGGAACCGAGAAGCAAAGAATGGCGTGCCATAAGCTGCGTTTACAACAGCTTGCACATAAATCCTTGGGTTCACTTTCCTGATTAGCCTGAGGACGGCATCACGAGGACTATCCTCCATAACCACCTTATAATCAAGCACGTCTTTAAACCGGAATGAGCAATTCACGGCAACCATCTCATCATCACCAAGCTTCAAATCTTCAATTCTAATCGTCTCCCAATTTCGTGTCGCTATGGCATTGTACTTGAATGGTATGCCAAAGCGTTCACAATAATCTGCCAAGCGGCGCCCGGTCTCTTCTATCAATTCCGCTGGACGAAAACCAGGTTTGGGATAATCGATTCCGGTCATACGGAGTGTAGGAGGCCCACCTGGCCTGTTCGAAAGATGCTGGAGAAGGATGGGCCATTGGAAACCGTAATGAATGCCGAAATCGATGACATGTAGCGCTTTGGCTTCCAATGAGACCATGTAAATCATTGTATTTGCGAAGTCTGTTGCTGTCCTCTTAAAAGGAATTGCGGACATGTAAACCTGGTATCCTTTTAACTTGTCAAAAGCTGTGATTCCTTTAGGGGTTAGGGACTTAAAGAGGAGGGTCCCCGTGCCAGCCAAACGCGCCTCAAGGCTGTTTGCTAATATAAATGCCACCCTCTGATCTGCATCGCCGTTGACCAAACAGTGCTTCCGGATCTGTTTTAATTGTTCATTTGCAGACTTGTGATCGTCAGTGGCAACCGATTGTGCACATCTTATCAAAAGAGTATGCATATCGACCGCTTCACTTGTTGTATCTCCCTGCTGCTGCTTATTAGGATGTCGTTTCCCACCATTACGAGGCCTGCCCTTGCCACCTACTTCAGGTGAGCATTGAATATTCTTCACACGATTTTTCTCATTACTATCAGACAGCAAAACCTCATCAAACATCTGTGATAACTGTTCTTCCCCATAAACCGCAGATAACTTGCTGCTCCTCTCTTCTTCAAACTCATAGCCATGATCGGGATGCTGATGCTTCTTTCCTCTAAGTGAATTGTTGTCAATCTCAGTATTCCTTACCTTGTTTATAGCATTATCCCTAGGCAACTCAACTGTCTTTTGAGGCAATGGGTATCTATCGAAATCAATAACGAATTCATTATTAGCGGGCAGGAATTTACTGGCTTCCTCCATTCCTCTCTTGAAATTTAGTATGGCCTCTGTGTCACCAAACATATTTCCAAGCTTACTGACATCTGATACTTGGATATTATTTGTATTTAGAGAATCAATGGTGCCATTGCTTGTATTCGAATTCTCATATATGTTGCCTGAGCTTTCTGGGTTATTATGGCTAACTTGGGATTGATGAGGTGAAAGTTGGCTCTTATCATGGGAGCTTGAGAAGTCATCATCGGCAGCTTGAAGAGAAACTGCATCATGGAACATACTTGGCTTCTCACCGATGTTCTCCTCCAATAGTATTTGGCTGAGGTACTTGGACACAGGGTCATCATCATCATCTGGGGAGTCCAAATCTGCAGGTGGACCCTTGGACATAGGGTCATCGGCATCTGGGGAATCCAAATCTGCAGGTGGAACAAAATGGCCATGGTTGGGACCAAGTGTGGTCCAAGGGTTATCAGAAAAACCCAGAGCTGCTAAAGAGTCATTTTGAGGAGTATCCAA